AAGCTAGCTAACTAGTTAGATAGATAGGGATAAATAGTTAGCTTGATTTACAGATATATAGATAGATATATCTATAGATAGATAGATGGATAGGTTTGCTTGATAAATAGCTGATGTTCGCTATCTAAATGGTTAACGTGCGCCATTTAAATAGCACACAGACAGGTTAATTGAGTTTGTTCCCGAGGTTAACTTGTTTTTATGAATGTTATCACTGGATCTTTTATCTTCCCTTCTGGCAATAAGAGTTACTATAAACTGTCCTCATGAGCTTTAGTATTCAGTCCGACCTGCTGCTGGTGCTAAACCAGAAGAACTAATACATAAGTGTTCGTACTAGAAGTGGGAAAAGGGGCAGGGCTACAGAAGGTGAACATTTTATAGGATTTGTATCTTGAAGTACACTGTTGAATACTTTTGAGAAGTTTCCTTTGGATTTAATTTTACATTTTCAATTTTGTTTTAATTTTAAGTGTTTATTTTAATTTTCTTGTTTTTCTTACCTTATTTTATTTATTGTGAAAACTTTGATTTTAATTTATTGAGCTGTATTTAACGCGTTATCAGAGAAACATGTAAAACGGGAATTTCTTCAATTTTCACAAACTTCTTCTTGGACTTGAGGACGAACCGACTAAATGCATTTAATCTGATTTATTTCCTTGCGTTGCGGGTGTTGTGCACCATTTGATTGAATTTGTCAAGCTTTATATATCGCATTTTTCCCAGGAACACGTAGCAGTATTTCTTCAAATTTGGCACAAACTTTTATTTGGACTCGTGGATGAACTGACTTCATGCATTTTCTGGTACTGTATTTATAACATTTTGTCACAGGTAGTGTATATTATTTAATTCAACCTTATGCTCCGCCGCCTTTAGGGCGCTTCCACATTTTTGTATGATGTATTGGCACTTCAGGTTAGAGCTTAATTGCTAGTTCTAGACTGCTTAAAGTTCTTATAATGACTTTTACTGCGAGTACAGTAAACACAGGTCCGCACTGCAAGTCTAACCATAGGGCAATAAATAATTATTCATATTTAAATTACGAGAGCCTTCAATTTGGAGATAGCTAGCTAGATAGCTATCATTCTAACATAGCTATCATTCGCTTGATAGCTTGGTAGATGTTAAGCTTAGGAAAGCTAGCTAACTAGTTAGATAGATAGGGATAAATAGTTAGCTTGATTTACAGATATATAGATAGATATATCTATAGATAGATAGATGGATAGGTTTGCTTGATAAATAGCTGATGTTCGCTATCTAAATGGTTAACGTGCGCCATTTAAATAGCACACAGACAGGTTAATTGAGTTTGTTCCCTAGGTTAACTTGTTTTTATGAATGTTATCACTGGATCTTTTATCTTCCCTTCTGGCAATAAGAGTTACTATAAACTGTCCTCATGAGCTTTAGTATTCAGTCCGACCTGCTGCTGGTGCTAAACCAGAAGAACTAATACATAAGTGTTCGAACTAGAAGTGGGAAAAGGGGCAGGGCTACAGAAGGTGAACATTTTATAGGATTTGTATCTTGAAGTACACTGTTGAATACTTTTGAGAAGTTTCCTTTGGATTTAATTTTACATTTTCAATTTTGTTTTAATTTTAAGTGTTTATTTTAATTTTCTTGTTTTTCTTACCTTATTTTATTTATTGTGAAAACTTTGATTTTAATTTATTGAGCTGTATTTAACGCGTTATCAGAGAAACGTAAAACGGGAATTTCTTCAATTTTCACAAACTTCTTCTTGGACTTGAGGACGAACCGACTAAATGCATTTAATCTGATTTATTTCCTTGCGTTGCGGGTGTTGTGCACCATTTGATTGAATTTGTCAAGCTTTATATATCGCATTTTTCCCAGGAACACGTAGCAGTATTTCTTCAAATTTGGCACAAACTTTTATTTGGACTCGTGGATGAACTGACTTCATGCATTTTCTGGTACTGTATTTATAACATTTTGTCACAGGTAGTGTATATAATTCAACCTTATGCTCCGCCGCCTTTAGGGCGCTTCCACATTTTTGTATGATGTATTGGCACTTCAGGTTAGAGCTTAATTGCTAGTTCTAGACTGCTTAAAGTTCTTATAATGACTTTTACTGCGAGTACAGTAAACACAGGTCCGCACTGCAAGTCTAACCATAGGGCAATAAATAATTATTCATATTTAAATTACGAGAGCCTTCAATTTGGAGATAGCTAGCTAGATAGCTATCATTCTAACATAGCTATCATTCGCTTGATAGCTTGGTAGATGTTAAGCTTAGGAAAGCTAGCTAACTAGTTAGATAGATAGGGATAAATAGTTAGCTTGATTTACAGATATATAGATAGATATATCTATAGATAGATAGATGGATAGGTTTGCTTGATAAATAGCTGATGTTCGCTATCTAAATGGTTAACGTGCGCCATTTAAATAGCACACAGACAGGTTAATTGAGTTTGTTCCCTAGGTTAACTTGTTTTTATGAATGTTATCACTGGATCTTTTATCTTCCCTTCTGGCAATAAGAGTTACTATAAACTGTCCTCATGAGCTTTAGTATTCAGTCCGACCTGCTGCTGGTGCTAAACCAGAAGAACTAATACATAAGTGTTCGAACTAGAAGTGGGAAAAGGGGCAGGGCTACAGAAGGTGAACATTTGATAGGATTTGTATCTTGAATTTTGATAAGTTTCCATCCATCTTCTCCCGCTTATCCGTGGTCAGGTCGCGGGGGTAGCAGTTCCAGCAGAGAGCCCCAAACTTTCTTTTCCCTGGCGACATCAACCAGCTCTGACTGGGGGATCCCAAGGCGCTCCCAGGCCAGCGAAGATATATAATCCCTCCACCTGGTCCTAGGTCTACCCCTTGGTCTCTTCCCAGCTGGACGTGCCTGGAACACCTCCCTAGGGAGGCGCCCAGGTGGCATCCTAACTAGGTGCCCGAACCACCTCAACTGGCTCCTTTCGACGCGAAGGAGGAGCGGCTCAACTCCGAGTCCCTCCCTGATGACCGAACTTTTCACCTTATCCCTAAGGGAGACACCAGCCACCCTGCGGAGAAAACCCATCTCGGCCGCTTGTATCCGCGATCTCGTTCTTTCGGTCATGACCCATCCTTCATGACCATAGGTGAGGGTAGGAACGAAAATAGCCCGGAAGACAGAGAGCTTTGCCTTCTGGCTCAGCTCCCTTTTCGTCACAACGGTGCGGTAAAGCGACTGCAGTACCGCTCCCGCTGCTCCAATTCTCCGGCCCATCTCACGCTCCATTGTTCCCTCACTCGAGAACAAGACCCTGAGATACTTGAACTCCTTCACTTGGGGTAAGGACTCATTCCCTACTTGGAGTGGACAGTCCATCGGTTTCCTGCTGAGAACCATGGCCTCAGATTTGGAGGTGCTGATCCTCATCCCAGCCGCTTCACACTCGGTTGCGATCCAGTGAGTGCTGAAGGTCACAGACCGATGAAGCCATTAGAACCACATCATCTGCAAAAAGCAGTGGTGCAATCCTTAGTCCACCGAACTGCAGACCCCCTCCCCCATGACTACGCCTCGAAATCCGATCCATGTATATTACAAACAGGATTGGTGACAAAGCGCAGCCCTGGCGGAGGCCAACCCTCACCGGAAATGGGTCCGACTTACTGCCGAGGACCCGGACACAGCTCTCGCTTTGGGAGTACAGAGATTGGATGGCCCTGAGTAGAGACCCCCTCACCCCATACTCCCGCAGCACCTCCCACAGTAACTCCCTGGGAACTCGGTCATACGCCTTCTCCAAGTCTACAAAACACATGTAGACCGGATAAGCGTACTCCCAGGCCCCCTCCAGGATCCTTGCGAGAGTAAAAAGCTGATCCGTCGTTCCACGACCAGTACGGAATCCGCATTGTTCCTCCTCAATCTGAGGTTCGACAATCGGCCTGAAAGGAGGGTCAGATTGTCGAACCTCAGATTGAGGAGGATAAGTTTCCTTTTGATTTAATTTTACATGTTGTTTCATTTTAAGTGTTCATTTTCTTTTTCTTATTTTGTCTTGTACCTTATTTTATTTGTTGTGAAAACTTTGATTTAAACTTATTGAGCTGTATATAACTCGTTATCACAGAAATAGGAAAAAAGGGAATTTCTTCAATTTTCACAAACTTCCACGTGGACTTGATGAAGAATCGCCTAAATGCATTTTATTTTATTGCGTTGCTGATTTAAGTGGAGAGCCCATAATTCCGACTTCACAAACAACATTCAAATGCAAAAAAATGATTTTAATAAAAAGTCAAAACACTTCAGTTTTTAAGGGTTGATGTTTTACCTAGCATTTGTTTTAATTTCCTTTAATACTAATAATAATAATAATAATAATAATGCATTACATTTTTTATTAGAGCGCTGTTACAGGTGCTCAAAGTGCTTTACAAGTACACATTACACATATTAGACATGTAAGAGTCTGCGGACATTACCCACAGGAGCAAATGCGGGTAAAGTGTCTTGCCCAAGGACACAACGGCCTGTTTATGGATTCAGTGGCGGCCGAGGCGGGATTCGAACTGGAGTTCACAAACGCCCCTTGATTTGATGACCAACGCTCTAACCAAAGACTACAAATCCCAAATCCCATTCTGGGTCGCGTAAGTGATGTCACAGGCGATAATGCTCCAAGTGGTTGGTTCACAGATGCCTGTGTGCTTTGTACCAGGTTGTAATCACAAAAGCAGGGCTCTCAAGTTTTGAACAGAGTTCAGAGTGAGATTTTGGCAGCGGCGGGGCTTTGGGTGGGGACGGTGGTCTTATCTGATAAATGACACATAAATTCATACAAATAAAAACATATTTATTTCATTCTTAGTGAAGGGATGTGTGTGTGTGTGTGTGTGTGTGTGTGTGTGTGTGTGTGTGTGTGTGTGTGTGTGTGTGTGTGTGTGTGTGTGTGTGTGTGTGTGTGTGTGTGTGTGTGTGTGTGTGTGTGTGTGTGTGTGTGTGTGTGTGTGTGTGTGTGTGTGTGTGTGTGTGTGTGTGTGTGTGTGTGTGTGTGTGTCAGTGTTTTTTGTTGTAGGTGTTGGTGGCAGTTTTTGAGGCCTTCAGCACTGGGGTTGGTGGCTCCCATCTGAAACAGTTTGGTTCCAGGCCTGCCATCTTCACTGTCATGATGGAGGACAGTGTTCCATCTAGGGCCAAGCTGTTCCTAGTTTTTGTCTTGTTCAGTCCAACCATCGAGAAAACCCTCTCCGCGTCGGCATTAGAGTGAGGGAGCACTAGAACAAGTTGAGCTATTTTAGTGAGCCTCCCAAACTGGCTCAAACCGGTCACCTTTAAAAAAAAAAGGAACCAAGAGACTCTATTACTCAAATGCTTTGCTTTTGATTTCAATTGATTATGTGTATGTCATGTGGTGCCACATATTTCTTACCTTGCACTTGATTGAGGACATACTCCCCCAAAACTCCTCAACATTAAAGGTGGTGGGATCTTGGGGCATGGGGATATCCATCAGCTGATATTCCAGGAACTGCTCACACACCTTGTCCTGTTCCTCCGGCCCATGGAAAGGTAGTAGTTCCTGAAATCTAAGAAGAGCACCATGTGTAAAGAACTGATTAATGTATTCAATCAAAGTATTGAAATCCTGGAAAATGTGGAAACCCTTACCTGTCTATAAAGTATAGGGCATCTTCCACCCCACACTCACTCTGCTGCACATCCACAAATCTTGTATGCCTCAGAAGAGCCTCCTTCAGAGGGAGTTTATTGATGCCATACTCCACAGCCCTGACCAGAAATGCCAGTGCTGCCTGTTGGAATAGCTTCAATTCAATTCAATTCAAAACCTTTATTTATACAGATAAAACCCATTGAGATCATAGACCTCTTTTACAATGGTGACCTGCTTCAATTAGTTCCAAACATTAATACAAACATGACAGAAAACAAAGGACATTATATGATACTACAGTTTGTATACTAGTAGCATTTACAGACACCAATATTTTCTGATTGTATAGCGTCTATCCTAGCTTTAAAAACATGAAATGGAATCAAACTGCTTAGCTTCCATTCCTTTTGTAGACTGTTCCATGCTAGCGGCGCTGCGCATCTAAAAGCTGTATTTCCTAATACAGTCCTAGCAGTTGGCACATGTAATACAACCACAGCTTTAGATCTCAGGCAGTAGCCATTTACAATACGCTGTGAGATCAGGGAACAGATGTAAGACGGAAGTTTCCCTAACATTGCTTTATAAATAAAAAGATACCAGTGATTTAGCCGCCGTACAGTAAGTGAAAGCAACCCTGCCCTTGTATACAGGGTACAATGATGAGTCAAAGTCTTACAGTCTGTCACAAACCTTAGTGCACTATGATAGGCGGCATCTATCTTGGTGAGGTAATTGGCCGGCGCATTCATATAAAATAGATCACCATAGTCCAGCACAGGTAAAAAGGTCACAGTGACTAGCCTTTTCCTGGCCTCAAGAGAGAAACAGGACTTGTTTCTATAAAAAAAACCTAGCCTAACCCTCAGTTTTTTAAGCAGGTTATTTACATGCAGTTTAAAAGAAAGACAGTCATCAAGCCAGATACCAAGGTATTTGTAAGAGGTTACCACTTCAAGTTTTTTTCCTTGCATGGTTACAATATCTAAAACAGGCTCTGGTGACTTTTTAGCTTTTGAAAAGAGCATTAACTTGGTTTTATCCACATTTAAAAGAAGCTTAAGCGCTGAGAGCTGAGTCTGAACAGTGTTAAAAACAGTCTGTAATTTAACAACAGCCTCCTTAACTGAGGTACCTGCACAATACATCACAGTATCATCCGCATAAAAATGTAAGGTAGCTTCCTCCACATTATCACCCAAGCTATTAATATAAATGGAGAATAAAAGTGGACCTAGAACAGAACCCTGAGGTACACCATTAGAAATGCTCAACCACTCAGAAGTGAGCCCATCAAAGTGTACACATTGGGACCTTTCAGAGAGGTAGTTCACAAACCACCCCACTGCAAGGCTGGACAAGCCAATGCTGAGTAGCCTCTGTTTTAAAATGCGATGATCAACGGTGTCAAACGCTTTAGAGAGATCAATAAACAGAGCTGCACAACTCTGCTTATTATCTAAAAAACTAGTGATGTCATTTACAACTTTCATTGTGGCAGTGATGGTGCTATGTTTTTTCCTGAAGCCCGACTGATGTTTCGACAGGATATCATTTATACATAAAAAGTCCTTTACTTGCTCACTCACTAGTCGTTCAAGCACTTTAGCCAGAACTGACAATTTCGAGATTGGCCTATAGTTATTTAAAATAGTTGCCTCCCCTCCTTTCAGTAAAGGCAAGACATAAGCAGACTTCCATACTTTAGCTTCACCTCCTGAGGTGTGATGTCTCCAGCCTCAAGGAGCCTATTGAGGGTAGCTCTGGTGGTGAAGCCAACATTTAGATTTTCTCCTACCAGACAGAGAACAGAAAGAGATAGAGAAGCAAATTAAGTCCAGGTAGTTTCAACAATATGCATCAGGTAGAGACAGGGATTTCACTTGGCAATTTAACTCAAAACTAGACAAACAGTCAGTGTATAGATTCAGTCTGTCTAGTTTTGAGCACTATGTGCACAATAAGTGCAAGTGGTTGAAGGTATTCCTCTATGTAAGCATACAATTTTACCCATAAACTACACAAGCATGGTATGCCTACACACATGCTTTTTAACAGCCATAACAGAGATATCACCCAACTTGCCCAATAACAACAATCTTCCCAAAAAGTATATTTGAGGTCAATGAGAATACAGGTGTATCTCCTTATATGAAACTTTTACCTGGCAGTTGGTTTAGTGGGTCCTTGTAGAGGATGTCATGGACTCGTCGGCCCTGTAGTGCTGACGGCTTCATGAACCTCGCACACAGTTTCTTGATGAACTTTGTCATCTGCAAATTTGTAGTTCATAAAACATTTCCATGTATTACTTGAAAAAGGACATATCAGCCAATTCAAGCAGACATACTGTATTTGGCAGCAGGATGGCCTAACCCTTGCATTTTACCTCTCCGTGGAGCTGAAAGATGGAAGACCTTTCTCTCTGGAAGAGGAGGTTCAGTAGAGTGAACACTGGCAGCGTCGCTTGATAGAAGAGTAGGTAGACTTCAGTCAGGGCGTTGGAAAATGCATCCACCAGCCTTCTAAATCTTGGTTGTTTCTCATCTGTAAATAAACACAGTCAGTGCTTAAAAGTACACATTTAGTCTGGTGTAATGCACCTGTATTACTGTCAATGAAACAAACAACATACTTAAAGACTTAAAATAGCTGGTAAGTGGCCCATACTGTCGCAGAATTCGTGTGATGCACCTCTCCAGGCTTAACCATCGCACTGAAATGTGCAGCAGCATTTCCATGTACTCGCTCTCATGGAATTCATAAAATTCTGGAAAATATAAAACATAACATCAACAGTAAACAAATTAAAAATGTCTGCATTTTGTTCTATAACAGTAGAGCTGGTTGAATCACAAACCTGCCAGGTAACCTTTACGGTTGGTGCTTCCTTTAAACCAGTACCCAACATCCACGGTCAGATCCTCTGGATCAAATCCGGATATCTGCAATACATGAATTCAAGTATCTATTGCAACACTATCAGCAAACTGTTTTACATGGCATTGGGCTTAACAGATTGGTAATATAGAGTGTACATGTTTGAACTTACTTCCATAAACTTCTGCCCCGCATGTTTGGCAGTGTTGTGGATGATATGACAGGGGCATCCATGGATGTAAATACTGCCATTTTCCTTCAACATTCTGGCTGAGATTGAATTTCTGGCACCTGTATTTACAGGGGCATTGTCAATAGAGAGACCTACACAATTTCTCCAAGGGATGTCATTTTCCTGCAAGGTGTCATTGATTTTTGTGTAGATCACTTCAGCGGTGCCACAGCTCCTCCCACTGGTGGTGCACATATCAAGGAACCTGTGCACAACTTTGTTGGTGTCAAAAATTCTGACAGTGAGAGGATTCATCTTCTCTAGACCTGTAACAATAAGGACCATAACTAAAACAATATGTTGTTCAAATTGTATGAGTGCATGTAGAAATGGATAAAAAATAAGTACTAATTACTGATAGAAGTTGTTAAGCACATACCAGTATCATTCCAGCCATCTGTGACAAGTGTGAAGGGATTCTCTCTCATCTTCATCACCAGTTCCTTCTTAAAATGAGGTGCCACTGCTTCATTTATGAGGCACGTTGTTTTTGTGCTTGCCCTCTTAAAGCCCTGAGCTGTAGGGGAGTCTCTAAAACATTCTTTGTACAAGGGGCTGAAATGGTCAGCAACGGCAAATGGAACATTGTGCTGCACCATTGCAACAGCAACCTTCACCTCAGCCCTCCTGGTCTGCAACAGAAACAACTGATTACATACCTCATAACCTTAAATACGTTTTCAAGGTAATATGACCATCAATTTGAAGAGAAATGTAATTCATCAAACATTGCCGCCAGCTTTTTAGTTCTCATTCATAACACTCCATTCGATGTCTCACTATGGGATGCGCCTCATCGCGGAGCAAACAGAAGCATCAATCTCATTACGCCAATCCTGATTGGCTGGAGATCTTGACGTCAGCGTCAGGGAAATCACCCCCTATAAGTAGCTTGCGCCACGACGCATGCGTCATTCAAACACCTCTTCTCGCTTCAGAGCACATCTCTATAGTAGCCGGACAAGCTTAACGGTCCACAGACTGAACCCAAATATAACCATTTCGGTCGACGGGCGCTCGCCGGCTACTCCTTCTGCTTCGCAAGAAGACGGTAATACTAACGCCAGTTAGTATTAAAATCGACCTCGCCGTTTCTTTCCCCGGAAAGTAAGGTAAGGTTTTGATTTTTCTCAAGCTAGCTACGCACCTGTTGCTAGCTAGCTTCCTCTTACTACCGACACCACGGTAGCGAGGACGCTTTTTTTTTTCTCTCTCACGGAGGAGAAAAGGATTAGAAGTATATTGACACACCAGTCAATATTCTTTGAGAACAAAGGACCCACACCGTCCCTTTTTCTCCGGATTAAGGACGGGTTGGTAACACTTTTTCTCTCAACGACGTACCTGTTACGAGCGGGTCCTCTCCATGCCACGAGGCGAACAAGATGGACGCCTCTCCCCCTCACACCAGAGGAGTCAGGGACTCGGAGGCTCGGTCATGCGGCTGCGGGTTGAAGATAGCAGGCACAGACTCACACCAGGTCTGCTCGTCCTGCCTCGGGCTGGAACACGCCCAGGAGGCTATCGACAACCCCGGCTCGTGCGGGCATTGTGCCCTTTTCAGCCGAAAGAGCCTCCACCGAGGACCACAGGACTCCCTCATGTCCACTGATTCGCCGTTTGGCAATCAAGACACGGGGGCGTCCGCCGCAGAGACTGAGCCCCTCACTGTGTCGGTCTGGGGCTCACTAACAGCCGCAGCTGCGGAACCGGGATCCCACGCCGTTCAGGCCGGGACCCGGTGGCGGCAAGAGACGCGGGAACGGAGCCCCACGCCTCACCAGGCGGGAGCTCCCGGCGAGACCTCACCATGGTCTCGCCCGCAGAGGCTCGGCCTGCTCCGCATACCGCCGATGGAACTGCTGGTGGCAGCCCACCTCCCACCGAGGATGGGTCACCAAGCAGGAACCCCACGCTGCCAGCGAAGGTGGACCGTTTCCAGTCGACCATGACTGAACGGTCCTACAGAGCCGCAGCGTTGTCCGCCAGGGCTCTGAACGTTGTTCAGGATGTGCTTGACATGCCCATCGTTCCCGAGGGGATTTTCGGCTCCGCTCTTGCCTCCATGCAGAGGAGATGCGAGTTGAAAAAGAAGGAGGACGAGGCCCTCCACCTCTGCCTCCCTCGAAGGGCCCAGCCGCTGCCTTCGCAGCGGCAGCCCTTCGTCCAAGCTACTCCGAACCCTGCTCGGTTCAAAATACCGAAAACGCAGAGGTCGCAGTCCGCCCCGAGTCCCCAGCCCAGGCAGGGGACGAGGGCGAGCTGGCCTAGAAAATCTCCGGTTCCGGCTGCAGCCCAGGCGCAGCCAACCCAGAATTTCGGCCAGCAGTCGAGGAAGAAGCGAGCGGCGTGACAGCCCCTCCTTCTCCCCTCTGTGACAGAGCTGGAAGTCTACGGTTCCCCAGCTCTAAATGTGTTCCCGCCGCCTCGAGAGATGCCTCAACACCATCCTCAAGTCCGCGTAAACACATGTCACACACTTATTGATTTTTCTGTCATAAAACATTTTCCGCTGACGCATCCAGGCTTCGAGCCAAGGGCGCAGCTCGAAAATGAAAAGAAAAACAATAAAAACAATAAACAGTCCATCAACTGTTCCCCTTCTGAGAGCAGCTACGGCCTCTCTCAAAGGGCGGACAATTGACGGGTCTATGAAGGCACCACCGTCACGCGCATGCGCAGTGCCGGCTGGGGCTGTAAAGGCACCACCGTCACGCGCATGCGCAGTGCCGGCTGGGGTCGTGAAGAAAAGCCCGCCCCGAGTCCCCAGCCCAGGCTGGAGACGAGGGCGAGCTGGCCTAGAAAATCTCCGGTTCCGGCTGCAGCTCAGGCACAGCCAACCCAGAATTTCGGGCAGCAGTCGAGGAAGAAGAAGCGAGCGGCGTGACAGCCCCTCCTTCTCCCCTCTGTGACAGAGCTGGAAGTCTACGGTTCCCCAGCTCTAAATGTGTTCCCGCCGCCTCGAGAGATGCCTCAACACCATCCTCAAGTCCGTATAAATACATGTCACACACTTATTGATTTTTCTGTCACAAATCATTTTCCGCTGACGCATCCAGGCTTCGAGCCAAGGGCGCAGCTCGGAAAAATGAAAAGAAAAACAATAAACAGCCCGTCAACTGTTCCCCTTCTGAGAGCAGCTACGGCATCTCTCAAAAGGCGGATTACAGGCGGGTCTGTGAAGGCACCACCGTCACGCGCATGCGCAGTGCCGGCTGGGGTTTTTAAAAGCACCACCGCCACGCGCATGCGCAGTGCCGGCTGGGGTTGTGAAGGCACCACCGTCATGCGCATGCGCAGTGTCGGTGGGGATTGTCGAAAGGGGGCACCACTGTGTTCAGACACTAGAGGGCCCCATAACACAACAAATAGAGACTCAGAGGGGAAGAGATGTGACATCTCCACTGGCTCTAAGGAGCATGCAGTGGAAGATGCTCACATCATCTGCTTGGGTTTTCAAGACAGTAACACGGGGCTACAGACTCCAATTCGCTGTCACCCCCCCTCGCTTCTCGGGCATTCTGCATTCGCAGGCCCGAGGAGAGTCAGCCCATATTCTGGAGAAAGAGATTCTCTCTCTCCTAGAAAAGAGGGCTATATCTATTGTACCCGCCGAGCAGAGTCAGGGCGGCTTCTATTCCAAGTACTTCCTCGTTCCCAAACGGGGAGGGAACGGAATTTGGCCAATACTTGATTTGAGGGCTCTGAACAAATATCTAAGAAGATATAAGTTCAGAATGCTCACTCACACATCTCTGCTGCGGCTCGTGCGACAAGACGACTGGTTCACATCAGTCGACCTGAAAGATGCGTATTTTCACATCCCAGTATATTACCCACACAGGAAATATCTGAGATTCGCATTTCAGGGGATCTGTTATGAATACGGAGTACTCCCCTTCGGTCTGTCTCTCAGTCCAAGGGTGTTTGTACGATGTACGGAAGCCGCGATAGCCCCGTTAAGACAACAGGGTATTCGCCTGGCGACCTACCTGGACGACTGGCTGCTTCTCGCACAGTCGGAGCAGGAGGCTGTTACGCAGACGAATGTCCTCGTAAAGCACCTGCTCAACCTGGGTTTCATAATAAACACAGAGAAGAGCATGCTGTGCCCCGCGCAGACTATACTCTTCCTGGGTTTACGCCTGAACTCGGTGCCCTTTTCAGCTCGCTTGTCAGCGGATAGAGTGAAAGCTTTCAGAGCTTGTCTCGCGGAGAGTGATGGTTACTGTGAAATGCGTAATGGCACTGCGCCACTGGCTGCACCCGACTTTTCTAGTACGAGGTGTGCCTATGGGTGCTGTCCTTTCACGGAAAGTGGTCACCACGGACGCATGTCTGACAGGTTGGGGAGGTATTTATGAAGGTCGCCCGGTGAGGGGTCTCTGGAGCAGAGACCTCCAGCGGGCACACATAAATTACCTGGAGCTTTTAGCGGTGTTTCTCACCCTAAAACGCTTTCTGCCTTTCCTCAGGGGACATCACGTCCTCGTGAGGACAGACAATACGACCACGATATCGTATATTAACCGCCAAGGGGGTTTGCGTTCTCTCCAGTTACACACACTGGCGCGCAAACTTATCCTATGGAGCGGTAGGCGTCTCCTCTCTCTGAGAGCGACGCACGTACCGGGACATAAACGTGTTTTATTGGCTGACAGGTACGTCAGGTACCTCTCCTCTGTGACAATGTTTAAACTTTAAACTGTCAGCCCCGGACGCGGAGATTCTGAAGATGGACATTAGACATTTCTTTAATAAAAAAGACGGCAATTCTCAGGTGGTGGCTCACACAACAACCCCAGAGCCACCACCTGAGCCAGGTGAACAAGGTATGTACCTGTCAGTAAACTTACAAGTTATGCGAACATGTAAGCAAAGCATAAATTACAGCTACGTTGACGTTACTTTGAATCGCGCGGGTAAGCTAAACCGTTACCAAGTAGCTATAGCTAGCCAGATATATTAAATAAACACTTTGTCATACAATCTAAATGTTGTGTTTTTTAGCGTTACCTGGTGGTTTCAAAGAAAGCTCTCTGGGAAATGTTGACTTACTGTTCGACATGAAGCTAGAAGCTACCTTACAGTACACAGTTGATCCGGAGTCCTGTCAGTTAAAGTGTTTCATAGTTAGCTTAGCTTAGCTTCAACCTAGCACTGAAATATATGGATGTTATGTGACAGTATTTCTGAGGAAAAGTCAGCTGAAATGGTGGCATAGTTGCCA